TAGTTTATCGCTATATCCAGGACGCGGATGTAGTTTATCGCCATACCCAGGACGCGGATGTAGTTAATCGTTATACACAGGACGTTACCGTAATTGTGTATAAAAACACAATAAATATCAATGGTTAGCAAGCTTTCTTTTTCAGACCTTATACTGACCGGGTTTTTTTGCCACATCAATATTTGTGATACTATTACCTGGATTATTTTGTGATATCCATTTCGTTTCTGTTAAGTCTGTTCTTATTTTACTTTTTATTACGTTTTCAATTTTGAACTGACTGATTTTTTAAAAGTTTTTTGATTTTTTTCTTCCCATTTTTCTTTTTTCCTTTTTTCTCCTTTGATTATTAGCTTTTGGATTTTCTTTTATTTTAAAATTAATATTATATATTTTCCGCTTTCTTTAAATTTGATGTAATCTCCAGCTAAAGTTTATCTGTTTTATTTTACGTCAGATTTTTTTATTTGTTTACATTACTATGTATCGATCGTTCTTTGTTGTTCTTTGTTCCTTGTTTTTCCTTTTTAAATATCCGTTAAGTCTTGCGTGTTGTACTTGTTAAATATTTTCTGTACATATTTGTTTCAATTTGCTTGTATTTGTAATTTTTGTCTAATCTCTCCGTTTTTTTCCGTTTTTGTTTTTCTTCGTTAACGGTTGTTAATGGTATTTTCAGCGGCCATACTTGATGTTGTTCATTTGTTAGTTTCGTATTTTTCTCGTACTTTATTTGATTTTCTAGTCTTATTACTGTAGTATTTTATTGTTGTTTGACTTTCTTTGTGTATTTTTATACCTTTTCGTACGTGCAACCTTTTTTGTGTATAGTCCTTTCAAAGGAAATTTGTGATTGTTTTGTGTATTTAATTTTTGTTTGCCTTTTTAAGTTTAACATTTTATTCTCGTCTGTATTTTGCGTAAGGTTTTGTTTTTAACACGTCTGTCTTATTGTATTTGTTTTAGTGATTTATTATTTTTTATTTCTTTAAAACTTTATTTTTGTGAAAAGGAAAAAAAAGAAGTTAAAAAAATGGCTTTAAGTGTTTTAATAAATGGCTCCTAAGAAGAGCGTTAAAAATAACTTATTCGGGACCAAGAAAAAAAAGTCTGACCACCTGATAAATCTGAAGGAATAAAAATACAGAAATAGTTAATGAATCGTCTTCAAGTATGGTGGCCGATAATGACCAAAAAGTTCAAGAAAAGAATTTAGCGGAAAAGAGCCCGAATTCTCATATTCCAGCTGAAAGTATGGAGGCCGAATCAGGCCAAAATATCCAAAACTAAGGAAAACAATATAGAAGCTGAATCAAGCCAAGTCTCTTCAAGAAAATACCTTCCAACCGACAATACCAACAATAAGTAGCGGTCGGGCGGACGCCCTCTTGCTGGTACCCCAACTAAATGCAGCATCAACATTACAGAGTTCCTTGAGAAAGCTAAAAGCTACGCCCATCTTGTTACAAAAGATGAGCTCTTGACAAATCTTGAGGAACTACAGAAGGTTGAGAAAAGAATTGTCGCTCTTTGTGTTGGACAAGCGTTCGCGCAAAATTTGTCGCTCCTCTAAAGACACCATCATAAAGTCATTGGCGTCCCTGGGGATTAAACCACAGAAAATCATTAAAGGCAGAGGCTTCTTCATGTGGGACATACTGTTATCCACGCCTGCCGATTGTGAAGCGGTGAGCACTCGGGACCTAATAACAAAAGATCTGATATTGAGGACCGAATATCAAGGCAGGCGTATGACCAAGGTTCGGTTTATGAGGTCCCTCCTGAGATTGTCGGGGAGCACTTGGCCGCTTATCTGTGCCAATTTGGACAGATACGGACGATCTGACCGGGGGATGGAGTTTTGAATTGATGATGGATCGAAAGGCCTTGGACTCCATCTCCAGCTGCCTGGATGTTGAGGGCCAGAAGATGCCGATTATAGTAACAGGTCGAAGACCGGCTTGCTGGAAGTGTGGACAGATTGGTCACCTGTCCTCTTCCTGCCCAGAGATGAAGACCTCTGGAGTTCTGGCCCCCACCGTCCCAAATCCCTCTCGGGCTGACTCTGTTGTTTCCGTCTCGCCTGTAATGGGCATGTCAACAGTCGGGACACGATTGGGTCCGTCTCACGGCCCCCATTCCCCGAAAAGCCTTTGCCCGCCGCTAGTGCGGTTGTGGAGGAGAAAAAAAGGGAATAGCAGGTTGTTGGTAACGCTAGAGGGAAGCTCCTTGAAGCGGGTCCTCGTCACACTGAGGCGCCAACGGGAAAAGACACAAACCATCCCACTCCCTCAAGCAGTTCTAAGGGGGTCTCCCCGACAAGCTATTCAGAAAAATTACGACAACAAAAGCAAAAATATGAACCATCATTCGAGAAAGCTGAAACATTGCGGAAACTCAAAGATTCGCTCAAAAAAAATAATGGAAAAAATCTGGCACCAAATCCTCGGCACCGTCTTCTCCGTCAGCCAAACAACACATCATGATTCCTTCTCCAGCCCTAAGATCCTCATCTCCATCTCCTACAAAAATGACAACATTAAAAAAAGGCCCCATCAGAGTTTCTCCTGCCAAAGATCAAACTTCAACAATTGCTAAACCAAACCATCTCTTGTCAAAACTCCTGCAGCAACATCAAAAAAGACTGAAAATTCCAAAAGGCAAAGAAGCCCATCTCCTGAAAATATAGACCCTTCATCCCATAAAAAACCTAAGCCCATATTTAACACTTGTATTTCCACTTCCGTATGCCACACTAATGTCATTAGTAAGGCTCTTGTTCTCTTTCTTGTGGAAAGACAAAGCCGCTATGGTATCTCGATATCTGTTGCTTTCATCCATCTGAAGGCGGTCTGGGTATGCCTAGCATTGAGATTCATCAATATATGCTTCGCATCGGGTTCCTAGATGTGTCGCAAATCGGATGAGGAGGGGGACTTCTGGAAGGAAGACGCCCGTAAAATGTTTACATCCCTGAAAAGTGTGCACTCGAGCGAGGAGGCCCACCGTTTGCCCCGAGCCGAATGCCCCTTTTATCGTGAATGTCGTATTGCTCTGAAACGCCTCTTATGGGCTTCAGATGGCCTCTCCAATGTCCAGGCGTTGTCTCGTAAGGCATTATGTCAAGTGTCAGTTAGGAGGCTGTTCGTGATGAGCTGATTGACGAGTTCGGTCTTACGAAGTAGGAGGCTCGCTTAATATGGCCTTGGGCGTCCGGGTTGAAATGCCTCAATAACGATGAGGCATCACTCACCTGGCTGATAATTCGTGGGGCCCTCTGGGTCGCCAAAAGACTTTGTTCAGCGGGCTTTTCGCTGTAGTGGGGAAGTCGAGACCACGCCTTATTTTATTGCACGGTGGTAGCGCCGTTGTGCAGGTTTGTTGAAGGTCTCATGGTCCGCATGCTGCAAGTTCTTTGTCCTTTGAAGCCAGTTCTGTTTGTAGCAAGATGGTGCCGCAGATGACGAAGGCTGAACAATATGTGTTCTTTTGCTTACTAGGGGTTATGAGAGTCGTGATTTGGACGACGCGTTAGAAGGAATTCTATGAGAGCGAGAAGTTCACTTCTTCCCAACTGATCTTGTTCTTTAAGCATCAGCTTAAAGTCAAGATTAGGACGGAAAAGCAGCGGCTCACCTCATCAGAATTTGACAAAAGGTGGGTGACTCTTGCGCGGTTGTGTCGAGTTGACCTAGAGTGGCATTTTGATGACGGTTAGGCATCCGAATATTGTTCTTCCTGGGTTGAACTTGGGCAACCAATCCCAAAATTAGGTTAGTGTAGGTTTTGTTTTTGAATCTTTAGTTTTTTCCTTTTTCCAGCAAACTTAGCTAGGGTGTGTTTGCTCATTGGCCCCTTTTATTTCTGTCCCTATTTTTTTCTTTAGTTTAATTCCCCATCCCCTCCCTCGTTAAGTGGTATGTGATGTCAATTCTCTGGTGGATGCGGGTGCTTTTCGTTTTTCGCCCGTGTGTGTTTTTCGTTTTTTTGTTGTCGTGTTTGGATGAGTGCGTGTCTGTGTGAGTGCTAGGGATGAATGAATGTTTTTTTATATTTTTATAGGCCCGCATTGATTTTGTCCGGTGAACTGATGTTTCTGCCACATTTAAGTATTGTGTTTTTTTTTTATTACTAACAGTTATCTTGTTTAGTTTCTTGTAAATAGATTAATTCATATTGTATGTACTCATTGGGGAATTTTTAAATTTGTTGTTTTACGCCTCGCCCCCCACATCCGACGATTTCTACATATGGGGACTATTTAGAATTTTCATTGAGACAATGAGGTATTATGGTGGATGTAGTAAGAAAGGTTAGTAAGAATGTGTTGTTTTGGTGTTAGGAATATTGTTTGTATGCTTAGGTCAGTGCTTGTGGCTAGCTAAGCTTAAAATTAAGACAGATGAAGACCGTCCTTTTCCCATCCCCTTGTTCCACATGTTCTGTATATTTCACAGAAATAAATATCGTAATAGTTAGCAAGCTTGTCTCGCCTGATCAATTGCAACTGAATAGTGAGTTCGATCCTCACTGGGTGCCTTGAGCCACATCTAGACTACGCTTAGAAGATCAAGTTAAGAGAGTCTGGGCGCTTCGACGTGCGTGGCAATGGTCAGCAAGCTTGTCTCGCGAGAACAATTATGAGCGAGTTCGAGCCTCACTGGGTGCTCCCATACTTTCAGTCGTGTGTCACATCTAAATTACGCTTAGAAAATACCCATACAAGAGAGCGAGTACTGTAGAATTTCTAATACTAACACCTTGTTTTCCTTCACCATTGTAAGTATATAATGCGAAATTTTAAATGTTGATTTTATTTCCCACAAAACCAAAAAATTGTATGTATGGTACAGATTAGGACTTCATAGAAAAAATTACGGTATTATGTTAACTGAAGTACGAATTATTGTGTCAATGTGGCATTTTGGTTCGAGGAAAAAAAATGTACGATTGGGTCAGTGATTGTGAGTGTGGGTATTACCTTCACTTCGTTTGCCACAATGTCATTAGATTGTAAAAGGACGAGTCAAAGTTCGCGGATTCCTTTTAATAATGGGCAGTTAGCTTCCTCGCTGGGGACAATATCTTCCCCCACCTCGGTGGTTTATGACCGGATTCATTCATTTTCTCTCTTTATCTCTCTCTCAGCCAAATTTAACGTCTTTTCTTTCTTTTCGGTTGTGTATATACTAGTTGCCACTACTTTTAGTTAAGTTAGAAACGGTATCTACAACACTAGTTAGGTTAGGGCATTGATGACCATCCTTTCTCATTCCCACTATTGGCCTTGTTTATATTTTTTCATGCAATAAAGATTTATAAGAGAGACCGAGAAGATGGCTGGAAGGTGATTAACTCTTAGTTCTGTTACTTTGGACAGAGAGGCCTGATACCCTAAATGATACCAGGAATCACTGATTAAGCATTAGTGCAGAGTGTAAGGGTGTTGGAGAAGTATACACTATTGTAAAAACTTACTGAAATATTCTTACCTTGTAAAAATACATAAAATTTCATTAATGTTGATAAATATTTCTTGCCTAGGCAAAAATCATCAAGGATTGAGGACTACAATGAAATAAATTTATTTTCATAATATAAATATCCTGCAAACTATAATTTTCAGGTTTTTTATTTCTTTCGACACTTGTAAGGACTCACTTTTTCTGACAAATGATTATGGGCATAGAAGATATAGAATTTTATTTGAAAGAGTTTGAAAATTCTATCTTTTGATTTAAATTTATTTGTAAATAGATCTTGGAATTAAATTTTAGAAAAAAAATTATCATCTTTTATAGAAAACAAAATGATTATGAACTTTGTTTTTCAGCTTTTCCTATATTTTAATGCTCATCATGTTTGTTTTATTTACTTAAAAATGACACTATGCCAACCTGTTTTATTGATGGTAATAATCATTTTCAATCTGCCAATAAATCTACTAAAACTTAGCTTGTTAAATTAGCTTTTTATTTTATTGCTTTCTATTGAAATAACACAGAATTGTTTGCCATTGTTCATGTAAATGAAATAATACAAATTCGTCTGTATCTGTAATTACCAATTTACATGCTATGATTTTCTACTGTGTAATTTTTATCTGTTCTAAAATCATAAATATTTACAAATGCACTCACATATGCACAAGATTTTTTATAATATTCATTGTGATTAAATTTAATGAATAACATGTTAACGTTCAGGTAAAAAAAATGTCATTCTTGAAAGAAGTTGATTTGCCAGTCACCAAGTAGTGTAGCCAAGATCTCATTTTGAAATATTATCTTCTGTGACTTACATTTATATCTACACATGAATATTAATATATATGCTTTCTGGTACAGTGATATCTAGATGTTGTAAATGTGGAGTTTTTTGGTTGTAATGTGATGTTTTCTTTTTTTCAGATATTATGCTTTATTTTCCATAATTTTCCTACACGTCTTTCTGGTCTCGTGACTGTCTTTAGGTAAAGAGTGGAGATTTCCACATATAATTAAAAATAATTAATTTTTACCTTCATGTTTTTCGATGTTAAATATTCTCTTTTTCTGTTTTAGTGACCCAAATGTCTTTCTTGAACTGGCAGTGAAGAGTTCTGCGTGAAGGGTTATAAAACAATTAAGACTGGTCCGAGAAATGGAGTAGTTATCGGCATTCTTATCTTTTAATGTCCCCTGTTTGTTCTTAGATCTATTTCCACTTTCGTGTGTTTTTGTCAGCATGCGTATATATATGTGTATATCCCCTCTCCATAAATACACACTGTCTCACTACGAGGAATCAGTGAACCTATCTATACAAACACATATACACACAAACACACACACATACCATCCCATTAGAAGGAATCAGTACATACACACATACGTACATACACATACTTCCCAAGTTACATGGAATCGGTATATATACACACATATATACACACATATATACACACATACATACGTACACACATACACACATACTTTCTAAGTTTTGTGAGGTTTGTGTGCGTGCCTGTGAGTAGTTCTGCTTTTGTCAATATGTATATATATATATACATTCGTGCCCCACAGACACCCGCATGTGGGCGTGCGTGCATGTATGTGAGTGGTTTGATCACTGTATTTGGCCATTATGTGTGCATGTTGTGCGTTTTTGCGTGTGGGGTTATGATCTATTTAGTTCTGGTTTAAATTTGTTTATGAAGTTTTTTCTTGTATTTGTAGGTAAGAATAATTGTCTGTTTGATATATTGGCATATTTTTAAATTTACCCTGGTTACATTTGAAGATGTGTTGTGATACAAATGTTTTCTGTTGTCTGGTAATTTTATGTTGCTTTTGTGTAGGGAGACTCTGTTGCACAGTTGTTGACTGATACCTATATATGACTTCTTGCATTTTGTGCATTTAAGTACATAAATCACATTTTCGGAGTTGCAGTTTAAGTTTTTATTTATTATGAATGTCGTTTTGGGGTTTTCAAAAGTGTAGGAGTTTACTTTTATAATGATGACACAAACCCCACATCTTTTTTGTTGCAATTTGTGATTCCCTGTATTGTGTGTTGGCTAAATTTGGATGAGGTTAATATGTGTTTTAGGTTTTTAGATTGGCGTTTGCTTTTAATTATTTTGGTTGTTTTCAGTATATTTTTTAGTTTATTATTCTTGCTAAGTAGGTTTAGATTTCTGTGAACAGTTCGGGATTGTTTTTGTTGTATGTTGAGACATATGCTAGAGTTTGTTCGACGTTACGTTTCCCTTTATTTCTAAGATGGTCTAGAGGAATTTTTTGCGAGTTTATTAGTGTTGTGGGGTAGCCTCGTTCTTTTTAGAGTTTTATGTAGTTCTTCTAAGCGGGATTTTCAGAGGTGTTTATAAGTCACTATAGTACAAACCCTACTTGCTAGAGAATAGGGGATCGATTTCAGGCAGCTATTTGGGTGATGGCTCTTGAAATGAAGATATTGTTAGATGTCTGTAGGTTTGTGGTAGATATCTGTGATTATGTGGTCATTTTTATTTCTAATGAGTATATCGAAAATGGTAATTCATTAAAATTATATTCTTGCGTGAATTTTATTTTTGGTGTTAGTGACCTGTTATCCGAAAACCTGGAAAAAAAATCCAATTAATTTTTTTTTTTTAGATATTAAACATTTTGTGGGCTGGACAATTATGCTGTTATACCCGTATATATATATATATATATATATATATATATATATATATATATATATATATATATATAAAAAGGCTTAAACACTAATATTCAATGGTTATAATTTATTTCATTGGAATCGTAAATACGATCCAATTCATCAGACCTACAAATTCAAAAAGAAAACAGAAAAAACAACTCCGGAAATAAAAATAGAATTTAGAGAGAGTGTAAGTATGAGAGTGTGGGACGAACGTTTGAGCTAAAGAGAGGAGTAACAGACGAGAGAAGGTGGGAGATTAAACCCTAACAGAGAGAAGTTTTAGAGAGGTGAGTGGAAGAGGTTTAAGTGAGAGAAATATGAATGTTGTCGGATGTCTAATACATGAAAGATACATTTCGTGGTGACATACATACACCATAGACGATCTAATCTTAAAGATCAGAATAAGAGGGAGGGAGAGGAAAAGAAAAGAAGAAGGGGTGGGGGAGAGAGATGGGGTGGGGGAAACTAAAACTGAAGGGCATTTACTGAAAGTGCCGCTGTGTAATTACAAAAATTTGACAAAATTAATATCGACTACAGGTTACAAATCAAATATTAACATATAAAAAATAAATATAACGATTATCTAATCTAGCGAGGACCTATATTTTTATGTTAAAAAACACATGCGAATCCACACATACACAATAACATATACACGTACATACATACATATAGGCGTGTACCCACATACACACATACATATACCCATGTGCACACATACACATATCTCCACATACACACACACACACATATATATATATATACACACACACATACATATTCTCACATACATATATATACATGCACATAAAAACACACACATACACATACATGTATACATATATGCACGCACACCTACATACATATACACATACATCCATACACATCCACTCCTACATATATATACACATTTACGCACATATATACATACGGACATACACATACGTGCACATAAACATATATACCTAAAACCTTGCATCTCCATACAAAAATGTATCCCTATATCTATCCGTCTAACTATACATACATATATACATAAATATACACCCATATACAGATATATATGATTACATACATACCAAAACATACACACACATATAAACACATCTACATATACATCTATCTACACATACATACATCCATATACGCATACATAAATATACATATACATATATACATACACATACATATACCTATATACACACCTACATATATACACATATACACACATATACACACATACACGCACATGTATATATATATATACATATAAATTAAAATGTAAAATCTAAAAAAGTAAAATTTAAAAAATTTGGTGTAAAAAATTAAATACATAGCGCATCACATAAACATACACAATGATATATATAGAGATAAACATAATAAACATAATAGTCATTCCATTAAAATGTCATGCCCGATGTTATTGAACCAAGATGGAACTGACATAAGTGACAACATGTTACAAAACGGTGTTTATGTTTTGAATCGTTTCTTATGTCTACATTTAGAAAATATCTCATTACGAAGATTCAGCAGTTCATCTTGATTCTTATCTTTGATAATAAACATTTTTACCGCCATGCACAGATCACACCGATCGCGGAAGTTATTAGGTGTTCTAGCTCTTGATAGGTATCTCCATTTCAAAAGTGGGATTAATCCCTTATCCACCAGATCCCAGTAGTGTTTGGATAAGGAAGTTGGTAATATTAGCTATATATATATATATATATATATATATATATATATATATATATATATATTATTGGATAAAAACGTACTCATGAAAGGCATTGTTAGTAAGTAGTCATTCAAATATAACACCATGATGGACTTTGTGTCATATTTATTAAATGAATAAAAGTGGAAAACTGATTGTTTCCAATTCCAGAATGTAAATATATGCAAATAAATGTTAGGGAAATAATGATTTGTGGCAAATTTAATAAAATAATGGCTACATCCTCAAGTCCGCTTTTGAACAAGTAAATAAAGGTGAAAATAAAACCAACTTAAAGAATAAAGTGAAAGAAGAAAAAGGTGTAAGATTGAAATAGAAGTGGAGAACAAGAATTTATTTTCCAAGCAACTGAGAATGATTTACTGTGATAAATGAAGCAAAAATAATTTGCAGATATTTGTTCAATGGTGAGAAAAAGTGAAAAGAACGGAAAGGAATTTAATCAAGTTAACTATGGAATACTGTTAATTTAGATTTTGCAGCTTTTAGACTCTTTTAGCCACTTGATATGATTATCCCAAAGGACATGTCCCTCGAAATGTAACGTCATAAATGAGGCACTCATTCAGTTTTGCCAATTGTGAATAGAACAATTTTACATATGGCAGCAATCCTGTTGTCATGAGCAGAGAGAAATCGTCTAAAGTAATTATCCTGGGAAATTGGTTATGTAATGGCAGCTACCATGACAGAAGAAAGCTAAACATAATGATATTGGACTCTTTACTGTATGATTCTAAGGCTGTACATAGTTTGGCTTAAGAGGAAAACACTTTATTGGCTTGTACCATAAACAATTCACTAACCTGTTTATTGGTGATTTTATTTAATATATGGTCTCTTGTTGATTAAATGCTGAAAATAGGTGTTTATTTGCTATTGCAATATATATATATATATATATATATATATATATATATATATATATATATATATATATCATTGAAAACGGACGACAATGTAGATTTAATGTTTTATTTAGTTTTTCCAGCAGCAGTTTTTTCGTTTTTCGGTGGTTAAGGAATATAGGAATTGTCCATAGTTATAATTGTTCCGAGAGCTTTCGACTACTTCTCTAGTATATATTATCAAAGTTCTGTTTTGGATGGCGAAATTCTGTGTGCGACTGCTATATAGCAGTTTTACAGTGTGGAGTTCGAGTGTGCGATTTGTGTGCTCCGTGGCGCTCATGTGCCATGAGCGACCAGTTGACCGGGGCATGCCTTCTATTTTTAGAACACTTTTAACACGCCATGTCCTCTACTAAATAGTGTAAGATTGATAGTGGAAGAATAAAGTTTAATAAGCAGATCCGTGTACGACTATGCGACCTGAAGATGATCTTCGTATTACCAACTAGAATTTTCCTTAAAGGTTCTTGGAATTTAGGAGTTAATAAATGTTTATTAATCGGGTAGCGACTACTATGCTTTTCCACGCCCACAATTTATTCGTCTCTGATTGGCTAGTAAATCAATACTGCTTTTCTATAAGACAATTTAGCAATCGCAGTCATCACTTTGAATTTTTCGGTCGTGAACTTGCTCACATGTTTCTTTGATACAAAATCAGTAATTGGTCAAATTTTAACCAATCAAACATTTTAATACTAAATCAATTTTTTCCCGCGTTTTCGCTCAGAGCCTACCGGTACCTTTAAAAGAAGCAATTTTGCCACAAGCCGCCAGTAGTGTCCAGCTATTTCGTCTGTCCACACAAATCTACGACTTTACTCACAACATTTCAAACGCACACACAGATTATTGTAACACATTATACACATCTCTCTCTGTGACTCAGCCAAGTTCATGAACCAGAACTCAATTAATTTCTCTAAACAACACATTTCTTAATTAACTGTATTCTATTCTAACAGCAAACTCTATTCAACATAGAATCCTGGACATTCTTATTCAAGAGAAACTCTTTCGAACATTCAATCATAAATCAGAATACAGTTGAAGGGGAACAACTTTTTTTCCTTAATCCTTACACTTCATTGCATGATTGTTTTCTATGTTATATTTTCAATATATATTTATTTGTTGATCCACAAGTGGAGTTTCGTTGTTTTTTCTTGAATCGTTAAATGTACAATATATATATGCACTAAGAACACGCATCACAATCGCACTCTGCTGTGACAGGTGGCATGTAAGACGTCTACTCGGTGAGGTAGTAGTGTGTCCGATATAGATTATTGGTTTTTGACGAGTAACACAGTCTGTACAGAGCATTGGATTTGCTACACTATATTAGTCACTACTAGTTTAGATTTGATGGATTTATTCATCTTGCTTATAGTTATTGTGCATCTGGTTGAAGTTTTGCGGTGTTGTATTTTTGTTGCAGGTGTCGTGTATTTTTTTGTAAGAATAATTTTATTTGCTTATCAATAGAGAGAGAAGGTGAACACTGGTCAGTGGTAATAGTAGTGGTAGGATAACTGCAACCAAAAAAAGAGTAGAATTTAGATTGTAAAATTTTTGTTTTTGTATGTATCACATTTTCATTGGCTTTGTTATTTTAAGTTAATATCATTTTGTCAGTTAATAAAACTTAACACACATGCACAAATATGAATTGTACAAACCCTCTTTTCTCATTGTGTCCCTGAAATGTCAACTGTCGTCTTCTGCTTCTAAGTAGAAATGTTCTTTCAGTTTACATCTTTTCAAAACTTCCATATTCTGTCCATAGTATTCTCAGCATTCTTCTGTAAGACATCTATTGCCTTGTCTACCGATCTTTGAAAAAACTGTCCAACATTCACTGCTACATAGAAATACAACACGCTTTTCTTTGATTCTAACGAATTTTTCTGTTTCTTAATACGTTGTTTAGCTTTTGGAATGCATCTTTCGCTATTCCAATGCGATGTCAGATCTTCTAAAGTAACCGCAGAATATTAATATCTATTGTATAAAAGTTGTTTGAATTAAGAAAAAAGGCAAGATAAAATTCTCATCTTGTCAACTGGATGAACAGCGACGTCTTTGTTTTGACATTGCTTTAATTAGGATGTCATTAGAAAACATTAATCATTTTATGATTTTTAAATTACCACTACGATTTCAGTGAAAATCTTTTTGTTCTGCACCAGTCGAATATCATTTGACTACATTTATCGTGACTAATTTAAAGAAATTCATAGGTTTAAAAAATATTATACAGTATAGCTTGTTTCGATTTCGAAGTGTATTATTTTTTTACCAGTTAGGATAATAATCTTCGAAGACTGATGTTATTCTTTAGGCTTTCATGATTTTCATTTTTTTGAGCGAACTAAGATATTCAGATTTTAAAATTAAATACAATTTTCATTGACTTCTATAATTTTTTTCTTTCATGTTTTTTAAGTAAAGTAAAATTCATAAATAAAAAAGGCAGACAATCAAATGCATTAAAAAGAAGTTTTATCGTCAAAACTTTTGTATTAACAGGAATGGCCGAAAAATTTGATCTATTAAATTATATTTTTTAATCCTTTTTAGAAGATTTTAAATTTTAAATATAAAACTTTCAGAACTTATGCCTGAATGAATGCATTTTTGAAACGTTTATTTTTAAAAATATATTACATCTTTTAACCCCAACTTATTTAATTTCATGGAATTTCGATAAAATCCTTTATAAGCGCTTGGAGAATTTAAATCATTTCATTTTTTCAAATAGGACCTCTAGTTACAGAAAATCAGCTCTGAATCATAAAATAATGCAACAAAACTAAAACATGATTCAATTAGAAAATTTTTTTAATTGCTTTTATGAATAAGATATATTATGGACACTATTGTCTTAAGAAAATCATGTTTCGATGTATAATGAACTTTTTCAAGAATTTTAATTTTAAAAAGACTTTTAATTATAGTTTATAGTTTATAAAGTTTTAAATTCTGTATTAATTTGTAACGTTTGGGTGATATTGTTATTAAACAAACACTATATTTACTAATTATAGATAGAATATATTACTACAGTTCAGTTTTAAAAAGAATTTTGAACTTTTTTGTCTATAAGCGTGTCGATTTTTGTAAATACGGATGTCCATACATGTCAATATCAGAAAATAAGTGCAGTAACTATAGTAAATTTAAAATATAATTTTCTAATATTTCCTCAGCAAGTCTCGTAAGTAAAACTGTAAAGTCCAAGTACCTAAAATTCAATAAATATTAGATTAATCAGAATATTTTCCTAAATTTTAAGGATTTTCATTTTGTATTTGTCAATTAATTTTCAGTTAGGTGCCTTTTTTTTTTAAAAAAAAATAAAGGTCAAACATTAGGTTATCAATAAATGTGTTAACTACCCATAAGAACATCCACCTTCGTGCTAAGAAATGTTTTTCTGTGACATTATAAACTAAAAAATAATATTTATTTTAATTTAGATTAATTAAACTTTAAATCACTTAATCTTCCTCAAATAATTTCAGGAAAGTATATTTTAATTTTGAAAGAATTTTGCAACAAAGAATTATGTTGTGCAGGGAGATTTGTCAATATAGCCGATTTTAGGGATTTATAATTAAAGTTGTTTCCAACGCTATAACGTATCAAACTTCTCCCTTGCTGTCATCCCAATTTAAGCATATAATCATATAGTCTTCTATTAAAATCTTATTATTAAATTAAATTATTATTATACAATTACTGACCTCATTTTTATATCAGGATTAGGTAAGGGGTAAATATAATTCTACTTGAAAAGTACGTTTAAATATAAACCTCACTCATATCTATCTATCTATCTATCTATCTATCTATCTATCTATCTATCTATCTATCTATCTATCTATTGGGAGAGAGACGCACACATTGCATTTATTTTATAATTTCCATTGTCAGTTACTTTTAGAACGCCATATGTTTCAAGCAGAAGTATATTTACCCCTTTTCTAATCCTTATATAAAAATGTGAAGAGTAATTGTATATTTTAGTAAGCTGACCTTGATTTTACTCAGTCATAGAAGACTATATGATTATATAGTTAAATTGGAATGACACCAAGGGAGATGTTTGATATGTTTTAGCGTTGGAAAACAACAACTTTAATAAATGTCTATAGAAAAATAAAATCATATTTAAAGTATTTTTATACCCTGTCCGCGTCGTTTCCCCGTGAAAGTTGGTATGACTGTACGTGTAAAAGAACAAATGTGGTAAAAGCTACGAACTGCAATGTACATTATTTTTAGTTGCAAGTGTTTTGCATATTTTGGATTCGTCTTATTTTATACAAGGGATGCAGAATAAAGATATTTGAAAAAGAATTCTGATCAAAGACAAGCCAAGAAATGGAAGCTGGAATTGAATTTCATGATTGCATTTGACAGAAATGGCATCAAACTGAAACTTGTGCAGATCAACATCAGAATGAAAAATTTAAAACCTATATAAGCTACATTTGATTTCACGAATTCACTTTAATTTTCAAATAAGCAAGGGAAGTAAACATTTTTTAGACAGTAATAACAATATAATAATATACAATTGTAATTAATTTAAGGTCTCATGATATTTAGATGGTATATATAGATGCAGTAGGATATTTACAAAATAATCTCACGAAATCTGCCGATCTATAGACAGACGGACAAACAGACGCATAAAAACTTATTAGCTAACTGAATGTTTTGGGACTTTGTTATCTTTCTTTATTTTTATGCATAAAGAACAAAATCCTAAAGACTATGTCACCACAGAAATTTAATTTTTTATTGTTTATCAACTTTTTTAATAACGACTAATTTTTACATTAATCTCTAAATTTGACACAAAAGTGAAAATATTTCATAAAATGTAATTTTATCAAAATGTATATACCTTCCGTTTTTATATCAAGAAAATCAAATCAATGTTCGCTTGAAAGTGCATTGTTATATTTGGTGGTAATAAAGATTTTTCGTCACTTTTTTGTAACACAAGTTACATGCAAGGGAAGCGAATAAAAATAAATGCCTTAAATGGCATTAGAGTAAAGATACAATCTAATAAAATATAAACTAGCAAATTATGAAGTATCAATTTCCCGCAGTATTTATTAATCTTACTAACATCGAAGATAATCAAGAAACAAAGTTTAAACGGTTAAGTTTATTCTTTATTTCTCTTTTGAAATTTTAAATGCGTGACAAATATTTTACCGAAGTTTCTAAATTAAATTTCTTGATTTGAAAATATCGCTTAACAATACTATCAACGTATAAACCCGAAAACATTTGTTTATATTTTAATTAACTGAAACCCAGTTTATCTAAATGGTCATTCAACAGCTTTCTTCTGGAACAATCACAAACCTCTAAAACTTCGTCTGTAAAACACTTTCAAATATTACCCCTTCAAAAATTAAATAATAAAAGAACAGAAAATAAACAGACTGATACTTTGTCGGAATGGATAGGGAACATCGTGTAAATTCTCACAGTAAAGTCTCAGAAGAAAAAAAAACTACAATAGAAAATCTACGATCTTGGGACATTAATATCAAAGTCGCCCCTAGCTACCCCTGTGTCTCTTACAATGTCTGAGGAACTGAAACATTGAAAGTCACGCCTAAACCTTCGTTTATAAAGTTAAGTCATAATATACAGTTAATTAACTTTTTTGGACAGCTCTGCGATAAAAACCAGGAAAGCTACTCTAGCCAACTTTAGTGAGAAGGATGTGAATAATAAGCAAATTGTCAGCTAACTAGAGTTGGCATCTCAATAAAAATACAGTAGAGAAGTAAACGAAAAAAAAAACAACATCCGACTATTACTCACAAGAACAATAGTAGCAATTCTCAACTCGTAAATATCAAACAACGGCGTGAAGGGAATCAGTTCCTTTTCCCATAAGAGATGTGTAGAAGGAATACAAACGACAATTATAATCGTGGCATGGAAAGTTTAAAATATGGCACAAAATATGAAATAGATGACAATGGAAAATTAATGAAAATTTTATAAGCGACAATTACTGAAATCTACTCAGGATCGAAGAAGAACGAAAGAAGTCAATCTAATTTAAGATTGAGACAGGAAATGCATTTTGGAGCTACTGGCAACTGTCAGATATATCTTCTGGTGAGACTGAAATTGAAGAGATTCAATATGGCGGTAACAGTTGTATATGTGCTCATGTCGGAAAGCACTAAAGAATAAATAGATCAGCATTGAATTTTTCAATTTTCTAGTGTTGCAATCTTCGCAGAATAAGTCACAATAAATTACCCTCTTCATCATCACGAGGTATCTAGACGGACAGGGAAGAAAATAAGATGAAATGGCTGGCAAATACGGAATTGGAGCGCGGAGAAAAAGGGTAGAGCGAATGACAAAACAATAACCAATGCGTGTTTTGAAGGGCAACCAAGAGCTGGACTTAGAAACCCCAGGAGGAGCTATCAAGAACAACAAAGTTTGACTATCAAGAGACAGATTTAAATACATGTACAGGTACTGACTGTTGGAGTAATCACTTCTCAATTATATGTCAACTAAGGGTAAAGACTTGTACCTATGTTTTCACAAAGAAAATCAATAAAGAACTTATTGAAATGTTAGGAAGGCTTGATCTACATGAAAAAGATATTTAAATGACCTGTCAGCTGTTTTGGGAAGTAAGATTACATAGAATTGAGAATGAGTTAATACAGAAAAATAGAAACAGAAGTAGATTTGTTTAATCTGCACGGACGATTAGGAGGGCCCTACATAATTTATTATCAGCAGAGGAACCATTAACAATATACGATACGCTGAAAACATTGCATTGGTGGAAGTTTAAAAAATCCCTGAAATCAGTATTAGATAAAGTAGGAATAGACTAGGATTAGTTATTGATTTAAAGAGCATGTTCTTAGTCTTGTAGTTAGAAACTCTTTAATCTTGTTAGCTAAGAAAAGAAAATTCTTAACTAGGCGGTGGTAATAGTAGTAAAAGGAATAGCGGCCATTCTTCAAATAAAACTTTTTTGATTAACGAAAAACAGTCATATCTAAACGCTAGCATGGCGAAGAATTGAAAGAAGAAACAAACAGAATGCACAGAAACCTATACACGAAATATGTGTACAAGTTATCGCAAGTAAACAGATTCGCAGCCTCACTCTGACCAGGCTAGGCATACATTCGGTATACTACGTTCGAAGGAGCAGCAGATATCTATAATCAAATCAGCCATCTACCTGGGGTAGATCTGGGGACCTTACTACCAATACCTCGTCTCGCTGGACCAAGACATGTATATTTCTGAACCAGAAAGTGAAATTGGACTCAAATGCATAGATATTAAACTTTCACTGATACTAACTTTCGGACTAATCTATGTCAAAATGTCTTGTAACAATCAGGGACAGGGGTAAAACATTCCAAATTGCCTTTCGCGAAATTGAATTAGGCTTTGTGTCACCGCAAATCTTTTGGGTTGGAATATCAACGACAGAACAGGCACACTCTCCCACTTTGGTGTAGACGAAGAACGTGGTTAGTAACTTAGTGGGAAGTAAAATAAGGTATAATAACGGATGAATGAATTCATGGAGTCAACGGACATCTAACTAGAAATTGTCATGATATCACTGAGAAACCAGTCCAATGTTCTTTCCAAAAACAATTTAAAACTCAAATATATAACGATGAGAAAGGGGTTAGAACAAGCAATAGCCTAACGGTCATCTGACGATTTTGTGTAACAAAGATAGATTTTTGGAATTTTTGGAATAATAATTGGAATATGGAATGTTAGGATATTGTTCCAATATGGTCATTTAGAAAATAAATAAAAACGAAACCAGTGAAGAGAAGAGAAGAACGAAAGAGGAGTGAGACTAATTAAATAAGTTGGGAGATAATGACAAATACCAGAAAGAGTTTTGTTGAAATTTAAAGGGTAACTATTTAGTATATCCATATCCCACGCTAGAAAGCACTGAAAAAGAAATATAGAAAAATTATTGATATTTAGTTACTTGAATAACATAACGGGTACGAAGAAAATGGTTTTCGTGGTACAGGGCGATCGGTTAAGCAATAAAACCTCGATTAATGAACATCCAAATTATTTGTAGACTTGAAAAATCCCAGCAAGATATATTAAAAATAAGATAGTTGGGAATTCAAAGACTGGCTCAGTCGAGATGAAAAAACAAAAGGGACAAAAGAAACCGTGGAGGTTGGGAATCTCGACATGGACCATAACAAAAGAGAATGCCAGGAGCAGGCAGGGAACAACACTTACTCATATTAACTAGATGAACAAAGAAAGTCTATCTTAATCGGAGTAAGGTTCACAGCAAACCGTTGTGTCAAAAGGAACTAAAAATAAAATAAAAAATATGGCCCCGTTCACATGAATTAAGCTCGCCACATTTACCCACCTTTCCCTGAAATGTGTCGATAAATACTTTCTATCAGTTCTGGTCTTCATTTTGAGCTGATGCCCAAAGAATCCGACCAGATCCTGATGAGAATAGCGTTCGTCTCGCAAGATTCCTTCCATCCACCATTCTTATCACTGCTAGCATCGTGAAAAACACCATTCGCTTCACCCCAGAGAACATTATCGCATGCGTATGCGAAATTGTTTGACACACGCGTATGCAAGATCGATGGGCACGAAATGTTCGGGATCGATACGAGCCATCATCTCGCCAGAACGGGCACACCAGATAACAGTTTAGAAGGCTTGCGAAGCCGTTTCCTCCAAACCCAGGTCACACCAATGACATTCGGGTAAATCCCCACAGCCCCCTCTGAAGGCTACGTTCCAAATCAATCGTCAAGTAAGCGAAAACTTAGGGTTGCTGATGTAATCCGCCGCTGGCGCACAAGACCAGAAAGAGCTCGAGTCGGTCGCCGACAAGCCGAGCCGCTCACAGAGAGAATCCTTCGTGA